AGTGTACAATTTTTTTAAGGAACTTCACCATTAAAGTAAGGACAGTGCTACCATGTATTTGCAAAAGCTATGTTTCCATCTTCCTTAAAGTAATAATTGCCATTTACTCGATTGGCTGGAAAGGTTGTTTAACTTTCGGTACGTTGCAGATTCCACCCAATTATGATACCAAGCTTTGGCACACATGGCAGTGAGTGAAATACCAAAAAAGAAAGAAAGTTGTTGATAACGTTTTCCTGGGGAGTTTGGCAACATGTCGACCACCGTGGCCGCCCTGTCATTTTCCCCTTCACTAACACAAGTAAACCAGTTGGTTGGGGCTCTCTCTCTCATTCTCTCAGTGGGCCATTCTTATCAATTACTAATAAAAATGGTACTTCAGTTTTCGTTTTCCACATTCTGTTTGTTAGCTAGTTAAGCCTGAGTAACACAAATCCATTATTTTCTGCTACGGAAATCATTCTCAAACATTTGTTCCAAAATTTCAAAAGCAAACATAGGAAAGTAGAGAGGAAGAGAGGCAGTGCTTCAATAGTATATTAGAAGTCTTGGGAGATAAGGTGAGGGAGAAAGCATCAAGCAGTGAAGCTCCTGCCATGGCTACTAGTAGCACCCTTCACTCCAGTGATTCATCACTGCCCAGCCAGAGGTAAACCTTTTACTGTCTTTTTTTTTTTGTTTTTTTTGTACTTCGTTTACAGATTCAGTTCTTGTTGATCTTTTTTTTTTATTCCTTTTAACATGCATGCCTCACTGATTGTGTGATTTGGTTTTCCTGCTATGAATTGTTTTCTCCTCTTGTCTCTCTTGGATTGGTGTTTGTTTTTGTGGGTCTTTGGGTAAGTTTGAGGATGATTAGGTAATGAATTCTGTGGTGGCAACTCATTCATGCAACCATGGCTTTTGGTATTCAACTATGGCTGGGCTCATATGAAAGACAATAAATCAGGTGGTAAACTGTTTTATGATGTCCACACATATCTGATTATCTGATCTGGCCTGTTGTGATTTTGTTCGCTTTAATTTCGAAGTATATATCAGTTTGTTGAGATTTCTTGTTGAATTGGTAGCTGTTTTGACTAATTGCTGAATCGAGTGGAGTTCAAGCATAAAACGGTGACTCCATTTGCATTAATACATTCTGCATCCGTTTTATGCTTGCATACGTACATGCTTGGGTAATTAGTTAAGCATATGTTTTCCTTCCCTTTGACAGATTAGTAGGGAAAGTGGCATTGGTCACTGGTGGAGCATCTGGCATTGGTGAGAGCATTGTGCGACTATTTCACAAGCATGGTGCCAAAGTCTGTATAGTCGATGTGCAAGACAATCTTGGCCAGAAAGTCTGTGAATCCCTTGGTGATGCCCCAAATGTTTGGTTTTTCCATTGTGATGTGACAATAGAAGAAGAAGTTCGCTCTGCAGTTGACTTTGCAGTCCAAAAGTTTGGTACGCTCGATATCATGGTCAACAATGCCGGAGTATCAGGTCCACCATATCCTGATATCCGTAACTATGATATCAGATTTCCAGAACGTGATGGATGTGAATGTGAAGGGTGTTTTCCTGGGAATGAAGCATGCTGCTAGGATTATGATCCCTCATCAAAAGGGTTCCATCGTTTGTGTCTGTAGTGTTTCTAGTGTCATTGGGGGTCTAGGACCACATGCATATACAGGGTCCAAACATGCTGTTTTAGGCCTTAACAGGAATGTTGCAGCTGAGCTAGGAAAATATGGGATACGTGTGAATTGCGTTTCACCGTATGCAGTTCCAACGGGCTTGGCTTTAGCTCACTTGCCTGAGGACGAAAGAACTGAAGATGCCCTAGCCGGTTTTCGTGCTTTTGTTGCCAGACCTGCTAACTTGAATGGGGTGGACTTGACTGCTGATCATGTGGCGAACGCTGTTCTCTTCTTAGCTAGTGATGAAGCTGGGTACGTAAGTGGAGACAATCTGATGGTAGATGGTGGCTTTACATGTGTAAACCACTCAATGCGTGTCTTTCGATGATCAATGCTGAAATTCAAATATGAATTCTGCAGTTTCACTTGTTTAGCTTGTCTAGGCCTTCGCTTTTTCATTTAAATTTCCTGGAGATTGTATTTCTTTCTTATCCTTCTTCCATTTCTGCAATACACTTGGAGATTGTACTTCTTTCTTATCCTTATTGTATTTCTTTATTATCATTTTTCCATTTCTGCAGCAGAGGGAGATTGTATTTCTTTTGTATCCTTTTCCCATTTCTGTAGTAGGCTAAGTTAAGTTAGTGACTTGGCAAGTACCTCAATCTATAAAATTCAATGAAAATAAAAGAGATGGAAGATTGAACTATTATTCTTATTATCACTGTACAAGCTTGCAAAATCTGTTCTTTATTTGATGAATTTTATACAAAAAAACGGCTTGATTACCATACTTTCAACTGTGAATATGAAAAACTAGTTGGCAACGTGCTGGAACTTGCATCGGATTTTCAGTCTGGGAAATTCAGTGTTGGAATATAAAAAATTTTCTGCAAATCTATCACATAGATAAACTACGAATGGATATCTGCTACTATGACTATGATGCTGTGTCTCTTACTAAATGCATATTATTTTGCATGATTGTGTATGTGTGTATCAAGATCAAAATTACTTTCATTTCTCTATAGTATGCTATTGTTATATAGTACAAATCAGTAATTGAAAAATTCTGAGATAAAGTAGTAAGAATTAATGTAAAAAATTATAAAAGTAGAATAAGTATTGTCAAAATATTAATGTATATGTGTGAGATTTAACGTAAAAAGTCAATTATGTTAAATACATAATTTTTGAAAAAATTAAATATTTAAATTTTATTCTTGAGTTTAAAGTATGTAACGGTTTACAAATTTTAATCTGTAAATAAAAAATAATAAGGATAAAAATAATTAGAGTAAAAATTACTTGTTAAAAAATGTTGACTTAAAGCAATAAGGATTAACATAAAAAATTATAAAGGTAGAATAAAGCTTGTCAAAATATTGACGTAAATATATGAAATTTAACATAACAAGTTAATTACTTCAAATAAATATAATTTTTTTAGAAATTAAACATTTAAATTTTTATTCTCAAGTGTAAAGTATTTAACAACTTACAAATTTCAATCTATAAATGAATAATAATAAGGATAAAATAATTATACAGAAAATTAGTAATTGAAAAACTTTGACATAAAACAGTAAAAATTAACCTAAAAAATTATAAAGGCAGAATAGACATTGTCAAAATATTGATATAAATATGTGAAATTTAACGTAAAAAGTCAATTATGTCAAATAAACTTAATTTTTGAAAAAATTAAACATTTAAAATTTTATTCTTGAATTTCAAGTTTGTAATGGCTTACAAATTTTAATCTATGAATGAATAATAATAGTGATAAAAATAATTATACAAAAAATTAATAGTTAAAAAATCTTGATGTAAAGTAGTAAAAATTAATGTAAAAAATTATGAAAGGTGGAATAGACATTGTCAAAATACTGACGTAAATGTGTGAAATTTAACGTAAAAAATCAATTATATCAAATAAATATAATTTTGAAAAAATTAAGCATTTAAGTTTTTATTCTTGAGTTTCAAGTATGTAACGGTTTACAAACTTTAATCTATGAATAAATAATAGTAAGTATAAAACCAAGTATAGAGAAAATTAGTGGTTGACAAACCTTGATGTAAAATAGTGAGAATTAATGTAAAAAATATATAAAGGTGGAATAGACATTGTTAAAAAATTGACATAAATGGGTGAGATTTAATCTGTTTAAAGAGATTTAATTTGTCTAATCAATGCTTCAACACTTCGAATAGATAAATATGTTTAAAGAGGGACAAATGTGATCAGTAGCATTAGAGTTCATGATCACATTAATCTATCTAAAATCAAATGGCATGTTATTTGAAGTGTTGAAGCATTGGTGGCTTGAAATAATACTTGCAAAGGCTGAGTTGATTAAAGATAGTCTATTTTGGTGTTTATTTTGTGAAAAAGTCTTACCATCAGAACATGTCATTCCATTTTCATTTAAAAATTCAATTAGCTTGCTGACTTGTTGTTTAATGACAGATTTTTAGGACATATCACCATTTCCAATTGAATCTTCTTCTTGATCTGGCTGTGTCTCTGTAGATTAGTCCTCATTCACACAAGTAACATTGTTTGCCATAGATTTTCCTTTCTTGAAGTTTGTCTTGGACTTGGCAAACTTAAAATCTTTAGGGAAGCCATCTGTAGCATTTTTATTTAAGATGACCTTTCTTCCCACAATGTGAGCACATTACGTCCTTCTTAAATTTCTTCTTTCCATCACTGATAGTTAACATTAATGAGGATTCTAAGGTAGGTTGAGTTTGAAACCATAGATTCCTTTGAGCTTTTTCCTTCAACACAAGACTATACACCTTATCAAGTGCTAATATAAGGTCCATGAGTATAATTTGACACTTAATAGTTAAGAGAGAGTCCTTCAATCCATTGAGAAATCGAAATACCATATGCTTTTGATATTGGTCAAAGTATCTTTTGAAGCATTCTGGACTTCATTTCCTACATACACAATAAGGTAAGGGTTTGTAATTTCTTAACTCTTCCCAAATTCTCTTAAGCTCTATAAAATAAGAGTCAACAAATCATGTTCCTTGGGTTATATTACTTAAGGTATATTGCATATTGCAAACCATACTGTCATCTAGCTATGTAAAGCTCTACTTCAAAGTATTTCAAATATCCATAGCAGAATTCATATAAAAAACGGTTGATACTATCGAAGGTGTGATGGAATCAAGTAACTGGGCTACAATAAGATTATTGCAATGTATCCAAGAAGGATATGAAGGATCTGTTGGTTGAGGTTTTGGAATAGTTCCAATTATAAAACCCAATTTGTTTCTGATTGAAAGAGCGAAGAGAAAGAATTTGCTCTAGGCCACATAATTGCTTGTGGTAAGCTTGGGGTTGATGGTAATTAAGTCAAGATGGTCAATATGATGAAGAAAATAAAGAGATTAAGGATCTCCAATAAGTGAAATTTGAGATGTGGTTTGTGATGATGCTTGAGATCTTTATGACCTTGAATCAGTTGATTTAGACATGATTTAAAATACCAAATACTGATATGAAACTAATGGAGAGAATTGAACAAAAAAGAAGCTGAAAAAAAAACTATTAATAAGCTAAAAGGTTGATGAAAAATTACTTTACTAGTGATGAAGGATAATCATTTTTAGAAAAAATCATTTTCTAGCTATCATCTGCTCTAATACCATGTCAGACATTATATAACAATGTAGAGAATATTTTGGAAAATTTTCATATTCATTCCATTAAGAGAGGAATTACAAAAGTTTGTTGTATTATGTACAATGCAAAAGAAAATGAAGACAAAGACAAAATAGCATAACTAATCATCCTGTTAGCTAACTTAACAGGAATTTAAAAAATAATTAATTACATCATTTAATAGAACTACTCAAAATGATGCACTTTGGAGTTTCGTCTTTTTTCCTGAACTCCTTATCAAGCCGATGCATATTAGGTCTTTATTTGCTATCTTTATTCTTCTGCTATATTAATAAAAATCTTAGTCAATGCTTCTGGTTGATACATAAATCAAGCAAATCCCAAAGCTTTTGTAAAAAAAAAACTATATATATATCAAAACGATCGAAGGAAAAAAAGATGAAAGATCCAATATGCTAGCTAATATAACTTGCCCCTAATAAATTGGAAATATGAAAAAGGCATATGCTCCTTGAAGAAATGAATTACGACTGCCTGATCCTCACTCACTCATTCCTTAATGACCATAAAGCAAACTAACTGATTCTACACACTTAAAAACCATGGCCGCTCTTCACCATTCATGGATTTCTACTCTCAATACTATTGCTTTCTTCTTTTCCTCTAACCATCATAACAACCCAAAGATGATGCTAATGGTGAAACTGGGTCTGGGAACATGAACGGAGGAAGCCACCTCCGAAGATGTTGCATCTAATCTCCCTTGTTCTTCCAACACCCTTTTTAGTTATCATTCTTCCCTTCCAGACACTTTTATTGGTTTCTCAACCTTCCTACATTCTGATCTCCATTCAGATTTTATGGCATCTGATTCCACCACCCTTCTTCTTCCACCATTTTTTATTATTATCATTATTCCCTTTTAGACACGTTTAGTGGTTTTTCAACTTTTTTGGTTCTGATCTCCATTCAGATTTCTCCATGGAAAGCGTAACTTCTTGGTTCTGATCTCCATTCAGATTTCTCCATGGAAAGCGTAACTTCTTGGTTCTAACCTCCATTTAGATTTCTCCATAGAAACTGTCAAAAGTAACAACACTAAAACAACAAAGATAGAAGCGGCCTAGGTAGGATCCTCTTAAATGAAATTGGGAGACTTTTATTCTATATGCCTGTTTATTTGATAGTAAAAGCTTTATTAAGGTTTTGGAGTTAAGCTTTTCTTTGCGATTTCTTGCAATTAGGCCTTCTCTTTTTTTTTCTAAAGTGAATGTCTTTATATTTTACTTAGTCCTCTATTGATCCTTAAACTTATTTTATTGGAAGATTTTGCTGTTCAATATTTAAAAGGAATATACTTTAATATTACAGTATTATTGGGAGAATTTATTTTACTAGAAGATGACACCTATTTCAACCTTGGACGAATGGAAATTTTGACTGACAAGTTTGATTTTGTGAATAAGTTGTGGAATTAAAGTTGGCCAACAGATGTAAAGGAAATGTTAAAAATGTTAAGGAAATAAGATAAAAAAGATTAAACAGGATTGATAGAACATAAAACAAAAAAAATACTGAAATGTGTTGAAAACATGTAATAATGTTACTGGGAGAGATTGTTTTTTTGTTATTTTGCATTTTTTTATCGCAGAGGAAGATTTTATTTATAGGCAATTGTGATAATGTTAGGTTTGCTGGTTTTCCCAAGTGTCCAAATGCCAAGTGTCCAAGTGTTAAGGCCATTATAATAAATTAAATTTAGGCAATTGTGATAGTGTTATGTTTGTTGGTTTTCCAAGTGCCAAACTACCAAGTGTCCAGTCATAGTAATTAATTAAATATTAATATAATTAATTTCAAGACAATTCATAAAGCTTATCAATGACCTATTCCTACTTAAGTCTAATTATTATAAATTTATTATCCTCTTTATTAAAATAACTTTATTTTATTTTATATTTTTAATATAAGATTGTGTCTCTTCTTCACTATTGTTGAAACTGTTAATAAAAACCGATTTCACAATCTAGACGAAACAATGTATTGTTGGACTGAGATTCTTGTTCATAGAAAGGGAAAGAGACAATTAAGCATTTCTTAAACTACTTTTACATGGAAGTTACCTTTTTTTAAAAGTTAGTTAAAAGCAGACACAAACTATCCTTATCTAACTGAAAGGTAGACAGCACAAAGAACAAAAAGCTCATTCACTCTTCAATGACCATAAAGTAAATTAACTAATTCTGCACACTAAAAAACCATGGCTGCTCTTCAACATTCATGGCTTTTTACTCTCAACACTATTGCTCTCTTCTCTTCTTCTGAGAAGAACTCACCTTTCAAACTATCCTTCTCTCAAACCCCATTTCACTGAACTTAGAAAAAACAACTCTTAAATCTGCAAAAGGTCTTGTGGACCCTATTAAGCTTGCTTATGAGAGGGCTAAAGCGTATAAGAAAATGAAAGTGAACCTAGATTCAAAAACTGAACAGAACCCGAGAGGAAAGAAATTCCAACTTCAGTTAAGGTTGTAATGGGAAAAGTAAGAGAGTACGAGAATATAGGATTTCTTGGTGGTGTGGACAATGCGAGTGAGAGTAGAATTGTTTCAGGTAATGTTCTATAATACTTGTGTTTAATAAGAGAGTATACGATTTTTTATTTTCTTCGATTTTGTTGACAATTGTTCTGTGATTACCAAGAAAACTAAAAATTTAAAAAGAAAAGATAAGCACATCTATTCTATATTCTTTTCCTCTTTGATTAAAATTAGGATAAGGTAGATTTCAAAAGAGAATGAGGATTTGCACTATATAATCACAACACTATTTGTGTCAAAGAAATAGCATGGGGAAGGGAACAATAATTGTTTTAGGAATGTGATTGCATGCTTTATCTGTTGTTTCTTAGCCTTTCAAACTAATTGCTGCGAAATCCAACAATTTTGGAATGCTTTGTCATTTTAAATTCCAATGAACATCTTTTGAAATCTAAATGGTCTTGTTATAAGTGGCTAATTGGTGGGCATTGATTTTTTAGGCAAAAACATGCGAAGAAGGAGAATGAAAGATCCTATATGCTAGCTGATATAACTTGCTCTCAATAAATTGGAAATATGAAAGAGGTCAACGAATTTCAGTTACCCGATCCTCACACCATCTCTCAAACCTTGGATTAATAGCGTTCTAATTTGAACAGTTGACATACCAAAGAATAAGTTCTATTATACCTAATATCAAACCTATCCATACAACGTGAATAAAAATTTTATCCGAGATCTTTCCATATATATGCATAAACTTTTTAAGTCCATGCATTATTACCTTTTGATTCTTCTTCATGGTCATGACTTGTAAAAGGATATAAATAAAGATCAATAAGCTCATTTAATCTTGAAAAAATAAACTTATCAACCAATAATCGGCATACATGCATAAGCCAATAATCAACATACATGCACATTAATCCATCAATTAAATTCAAGATGCAGCTCAAAGATATATAAATGCAAAGAAACTATAAAAAAAACTTACAAAAGAGAGAGTATCCTACAACCTCTCAAAAAACATAAACCTAGCACTTCTCTTGGTTTAAAACCTAAACTCTTTAAATTTAATTTATAAGCTTACGAGTTAATATTATAAAAAACTTTTACTTTTTAGAGTTTAAATTTTAATTAATAGTGTCTTGTACGTAATTCTATCTCTTTAGAGTTTAAATTTTAATAAATGTTGTCTATATATTATTGCATATGGCTCTAATTTTTTTTTATAACAGTGAATAGATTTTTAATTAATTTTTTAATTATATATATTTGTTATTTTTTCAAACAAATATTAATATTAAAATAATAAAATATCCTTATACTACAGGAAGTTACCTCGGTTTAAGAGTTAGTCAAAAGTATATATCTATATATATTATCCGCTGACACAAACTACCAACCAAAACAAAAAGCTCGCTCACTCCTCAACGACCACAAAGCAAACTAACTGATTCTGCACACTTAAAAAGTCATGGCTGTTCTTCAACATTCATGGCTTTCTACTTTCAACACTACTGCTCTCTTCTCTTCCTTTAACCCTCAGAAGAACTCTCCTTTCAAACTATCCTTCTCTCAAACCCGATCCAATGATGAAGCTTCACAGCCCATTTCACCAAACTTGGAAGAAACAATTCCTGAATCAACAAAGGGTCCTGTGGACCCTGTTAAGCTTGCTTTTGAGAGGGCTAAAGCGTATAAGAAAATGAAAGTGAACCCAGATTCAAAAACTGAACAGAACCCAGGAGGGGATTCTGGCAGAGATAGGAAAAAGACTGGCGGAAGTAAGGAAATTCCTGCTTCAGTTAAGGTTGCAATGGGAAAAGCAAGAGAGTACAAGGAGAATACAGTGGTTCTTGGTGGTGTGGACAATGCCAGTGAGAGCAGAATTGCTTCAGGTAATGTTCTGAAATTCTTGTGTTTAATGAGAGAGTATATAGTTTTTTATTTTCCTCGATTTTGTTGACAGTTGTTCTCTGGTTGCCAAGAAAACTAAGAATTTAAGAAAGAAAAGGTGAGAACATGAATTCTATATTTTTTTTCCTCCCTGAGTAGAATTAGGAGAGGTAGAGAATGAGGATTTGCACTATATAGTCACAGTACCATTTGTGTCTAAGAAATAGCCTGGGGAGGGGAGCCAAAATTGTTTTCAGAATGTGATTGCATGCCTTATCTGTTGTTTCTGAGTCTTTCAAGCTGATGGCTGAAATCCAACAATTTTGGAATGCTTTTCGATTTTAAATTCCAATGAACATCTTCTGAAATCTAAATGGTCTTGTTATAAGTTGCTAATTGGTAGGCATTGATTTTTTAGTCAAGAACACTGAGAGTAGCGGTACGTCACATCTAGGCAAGACTGTGGAGAAGAAGGTTCAGAAGGAGGAAAAATTGTCAATCTCAAGCATTGACTTCGTAGGGCTTGAGTTTGCTGATAAGAAAAAGGGCAGAGGACTACCAGCTGGACTGGTTCGAGTTTCAGATACTTTTCCAGAAGGTGATTTGCCTGATGTGGAGATTATTGTTGGGGACACCAGCAAGTTTGGGGAGGCAACAACATCAGAGGAAAAGCAAACCATAGAAGATAGCTCGGAAATTTATAAGCCGAAGGTCTCAACATGGGGAGTTTTCCCTAGGCCTGGCAACATCTCCAAGACGGTATGATATTGTCATATTACGGGTTGTATAGAAGAGCCAATAATGTGTCTTTGTTGATATTGCAGATCTTGTGCCTTTCAATAGTCTCATGTGTGGCTAAAGGAAAACCGTTCATTTGGTTGGATAACAACTGGTTTGAGACCTGACCGTAGCTGCTTAGCAGCTGGGGAGTGCATTTTTATTTTTCAAGTAATAATGTAAATGGAAAAAGAACTAATGAAAGTGTTCAGAATTGCAATAAGCTTCAGTTCTCATGATTGTAGAATTACAAGATGCCTCTATCATGTTCTCTTAAACTTCTCAAAATTCAAACTGCTCTAAAGATATACCTGACATGGTTTCTGTTAGTTTGGTGGTGGAAGGACTATTCGACCTGGGGAAGGGCTTGAAACAGAAGAAGATAAAGCTGCTAAAAATGAGCGCACAAGGCAGTTGCTTGCTTCTTACAAGATGAAAATTGGATTGAATGTTGACCCGAAGCTAAGATCTGAGTGTGAGAAGGTACTTAAATTAAAATTCTTGCTACTGTTAATGGTCTGTTGAAAGTAAAAGAAAATGCATCGAAGGAAATTGAGAACAATTATTCTAAATTTTCATTCACAATTTCTGAATCAAGCCACCCTTCTCCTGAATCGGTGTTTGTAACTACAGGCATTGAAGCATGGTGACTCATTAATGGATTCTGGGAAGCTTAAGGAAGCTTTATCCTATTATGAAAGAGTAATGGAGAAGATGCCTTATCAGGTAATTCTTCTGAATGAACCGCAGCTTGAGTAATTTGACTTGCATGCATGCAATAGGGCATCTTCCTAAATTTTGAATGAAAATTGAAAAATGTTGGAAAGTTTTTCTTAGAGTTGCTCACAACCTTTTCTAGACGAAATCTGATTTTCTGTTCTGCCTCTTTTGATCGATGATGAACAAGGATTTGATAGACAACATAAGTCACTATTGTTTACTGTAATTAGATCCAAATCAAGCTTTTCTGTTGTCGAAGATCAAGCTTATGCCAACACAATCTCAATTCATTACAGCAAAGTAGTTGACTGTAATATGGTGTTCTTTTCCATGTAGTTATTTCCTTTTTACTGATTGTGCAGAGTGAACTTCATGGATTAGCTGCTTTGCAGTGGTCTATCTGTCAAGATTCACTTAGTAGGTACATTATCAAATATTTTAATCAGTTGGAACACTAATGGTTTTTTATAACAATAAATGGATCTAAAATGTCATCTGAAATACTGTTGGAATCTTTTATAGCAATTGTCATTCTTCTGCTCTTGACCATATGTGAAGAGTTACCATATTACATCTTATTTGCTTACAAGATGGATCATAGCTGGTTGCAATTGTTCACAGACCAAATGAGGCCCGGATTATGTATGAGAAGCTCCAGTCTCATCCAAATGCCAATGTAAACAAGAAAGCAAGGCAGTTTACGTTCAGTTTCAAGGTAATTGATAGTGAACTTATCGGTTGCTCCACATTCCTATGCTGGATGTACATTATGCGAAAGAACTTCAAGTTGTTCGCTACATAACCAAAATATGAAAGATAAACTGAATATGTGATTCTTCATCGCAAGTTGAAATTAGAGTATACTAGATATCATCTAAATAATTGAGGTCTGGGAACAAAATGAGGTAGAAACACTATATCGGGATCTCTGGTGATGAAGTCAAGTGCTGCAGGTCATCTTTAGGCAGAGTAAGCTTGATGTGTAATCAGAAAAACTTTATCTCATATTCTTGTCTGCTTCGTATTTGTACATCTTTACAAATAACAACAATTTTCATGTATGATAGGCCATGGAAATGATGAAGGTCACAGGCTCCAACCCCTCACTAAAGAACACAGGCTACCAGAATTATTTTGAGGCATTTATTGAAGATAAAGCCTACAACTCTCTGGAAGGGGCCGAAGTCACAGAAGGTGCACTGAACCAAGCCCTCCCATATGTGATTTTCCTTCTTTCTCCCATTATTGCTGTATTATTCATTGCTGTACAGAAAGGGTATGCAAATTAGTATGCAAGGTAGAACTCACACTGTACATGTCTCATCATATCTTTCAAAACTGTATTCAAAGATTTCGTGAATATATAGATTTTTCTTCTATATGATGTATAAACTGAGATCGTTCTGATAACAGCAGCACATAATGCTTAATGGTTGATTTATAAAGGATTAGAGGTTATGTGCATAGACAAGGGTGCTCTTTTGCGGCTTAGGCTTAGGCCCAAGTTTGGGAAGGGGAACCAAGATTGTCATATTAAGGTGTGATTACCAGATCGAAGTCTTTATATGATCTGCTTTATATCTTTCTCTACCTTTTCCCCCTCCTAGAGTACTCCTCACCATTTCAACCTAAAAAGAAAAAGGTTTGAAACCAGTAAGAGGACATACTTCTCTAGGACAAATAGCAAGTTATAAAGAAAAGCAATGGTCGTGTGCACTTCCCTCAGGATTTCTGATGCTTCAGCCGGTATTTTGACAAGTGGAAAATGGCTCTGATCTTCAATGACTTTAATGTCTTCAACAACATGAGTTGTTAACCTTTCTATTTCAAAATTTCTGAGTAAATTGAGTAGATTGATTGATTCAACACTATATATAATATAAAAACAATATAGAAAATGGTTTAATTACTTTTAGGTTCTGCCTGCATTAAACTATGAATAATAGTAACTCACAGAAGTAGGAATTAAGATTTTTGGGGATTTGGGATGCAATAGAGAACAAAAGCAGTTGATCTCCTGATTTCTTTTTCAATTTTTAGGGTTTTTTTTTTTTTTTTGTGTGTGCTGTGAATGTGGTTTTGGGGTCATAGTCTTGGCTACATTTGTCCTTTTGGATATTTTAAAATAAAGCAATCTTGCTGACATTTTTAAAGCTTAATTTAAAGCTCCTTTTGCACTGTCGGTGACTCAAGGAAGGAATTAGTATACCTTTCATAAGTCGAATATCAAAATTATATCACCATCCCTTGAGATCAAACATTTCTGACAGACAAAAAATTCAAGTTCTATGATTTCTTTTCCAGAAATTCTTATAGAAATAAACCACTAACCTTAATTATAATTCAATAAAGTAGTCAACCATTCCCATTTTGGTTTACTTCTCTGGTGTATTGGTATCCCAGAAAGCAACCTGTGATCTTTTCCGGGTCCTTACTCTACAATGCTGATTAAATTTCTCAAAAGTTTCCCATGCTTATCACGTATTACTGTTCACATTGAAAAAGCGTCTTTGGTCATCCTGGATTTCTTATGCATGAAACAAAAGGCAGATACCCAATAACCTTTAGAATAGCCTCAATGTGAGACTACTGTAGCAAATTAAAGATGGCACACTGTATTTCTGAAAGCTACTCACCGCCCTTCTTTTCTTTCAGGTAAAGCAACTTGGATGTATGGCTCTAATTTTTCTTTAATCTTATTGGTCAGTTAATCCCTTGTCATCATGGGTTTTGGCCATATTAGGGGTCTGAGATTGTCCAGGTTGGTGTAACCCTCAATCTTTTCTTTAGTGGAAGTCTCAGCACAAACCAAAAACTCCTATTCCATCTGATCATGCGGAGTAAACTGATATATATATATATATATCTGGAACTTGATCCAATTATACAAGGGGAAACTCTTTTCTTCTTTGTTTATTTTTTTGGTAACTTGATGGTGCTTGCAAGTTACAATTTCCTCCAAAGAAAACACCCATGCTTAGTTAGGTATGCTTGGTAAGAGTATTATTTTGGGTAAAAAAAGTTTCCTGCCCACTATGGATTTTGTGCCACTGAAAGCTCTTCATCCTCTCCCTTGACTTTATATTGTTTTTGTTTTGGATACATCTCCTTTTACTTTATAATAAAGATGCTTTCATGACACTAATCTCTATATGATCATCCTGATTATACAATCCATCTGTCAATGATTAGGATCTTGATCATCACAGATGATTGATCACTAATTAGGTGCCATCTTAATTAGGACCATATATTATAGTATGGTTTAGAACAGCTAACCAGCCATTATTTTCTAATTATGGGTTCATAATTTAACTTCAGATATTTCTTGCTTAAAAGATTAAGCTGTAGGTCTGATCAGATACATTTACAAATCAACGGTAGATCAAGTAACCAGAGTAAGTCCAAGCTACATATATATATAGGATTGCAACTATATATACATCTAGCAAGAAAATTTTAAATTGTTCATTCTATGCTTTAATTTAATGTAAAATTATGAGACATATTTCTTATCTGATAATTTTGGGTATTGAGCATTGAAATTGAAACGGAGAGAGGAAAAAAATGATTTAGGAAACAAGAAAACATGGGATTCTTCCAGGGGGGAGACTTGGGCAGCACAAAATGTGTGTTGTGTAGCAGACCGGAGGAATGGGGGGGATCTGTCTTGTTCTGTGTTACTCAAGTTGAGTCATGACAACTTAAGCAGACAGATTCATTTGCATTCCTGACTTCAAACCCTGCATGGGATGTTGCTCCACAATCCTGGATTTTCTCTCTCCATAATGGAAAATTGTTGTGACTCAAGAGTATTATTTGGTCCTGATGGTGCCCACCATGGCTTCCCCCCATGGGAGAAAAGGACGACCTCTCCTTTCTTTTCTCTTTTGACAGGAGCAAAATTATGATCATTACCATAATATATCGAAATGAAAAATGGAGAATCAGATTGCAGAAAATGTCGATAGAAACACACACTTATTCGTTCATAAGCAAAAACGCTTGTTCGGGTAAGACCAAGATATTCAACAATGGGCAATTTCATTCTTAGCCCTTGATAAACATGTGATAAACACGACAGGTAAAAGTCGGCTGCTTTAAGTTTGGACAACTTTCCTGTCTTCCTGAGTTGAACCATAGGGAAACTACATCTCCCATTGTCTCTCAATCATAGAAATAAAGCTCTGAATTGCCAGAGTTAATGTCCAAAATGATTTTGGTTTTCTCAGTCATTAAGCTTTGGAAACATCAAAAAGAATCCACAAGATCTCCATTACCTAGGGATAAATGAAATGTTGATTATTGCCATTGGAATTTATATACACAAATGAAAAGAAAAGTAATTAATCAGACTTTATGACCAAAAAGGACCAAGATTTTTTATTTAGGTAAGACTGAATCTTCAAATATCGAACACTTAGTCCATGAATTTCAGTTATACCTTCTTGCTATTTTAATTGGATTGAATGCACCTAAAGGGTAGACTTAATTTGTACATATTGAAAGGTAGATACATATAGTCAAACTGATTAGTTTAAACCTGCCATGTCCAAATAGAATATGCCTACAAATTCAAACAGGGTGCTATCCTTTTCAAACCAATATGTAATCTAAAACCATTTCTTATCACTTAATTGAAAAACATATAAAATCGATTTAATAAAATTATTAATAAATAATTTTAGTTTGATGATGTGTGTGACGGAGATATCTAAATTTTTTTCTCGTAACATGAGCCAAAAATTCAAAAAAAAAAAACCCTGTGTCAAGAGCAAATGATCAGACAGAAAAAATATGTATTTTAGCAATAAATACAATAAATTTTGCCATCTTCTTCATTTTGAATTAAATTAAAATTCTATTTATGATGTGGTTCAATGAGGTTGATTAGGCCAATTCAAACAGGCATGGGCCGGTGGGGGGGGGGGGGGTGGGGGTGAGAAAAATTAACCGATGGAGTCTGATTTATGAGGTCCAAGGTGGGCCCATTTGTTCTTTTTTCATTGGACGTGGAGCAGCTGCAGTGCGGAGGAGCGTCTGTGCCGCAAGCTCTTAGTTGGGCCCCACAAGCAGCCCATTTCCGCCGACCATTGCCTTTAGTCTTTTCTGAAGTGCCACCGCCCAACCCTTTTTTCCACCGGAGGACAGGGCGGAGGGTTCCTAGTTAATCACTTGTGTCCTACTCTTTGTCCATTTAAATTTCCATCATTTTTTGCTTGTCTAAATCCTTATCTAAAACCCTGATAGAGTTATTTAATTCAATATTAAAATGATAATAAATTGGTGGTATGTGCAATATTTTTAATTGTTTTTATAGGCAATGATTCAGCTTAGGAAACGGGATAAAACAGAAGGGACCCAAAACTCAAACCCTGTTATAGTGCAAGTCAGCATCAAACTCTTATCTCAGCCTTTATTCAAATTTGATCTGCCAAATCCTGTTTAAACAAAGGGTCACCCACAGGAAACCAGAATAAGCTAGACCCAAAAAGGAATCTTATATTGTTTGGCTTTCAGGAATTTTCCTTTTTCCTTCTGATGTGATTTTCCATCCCAAACCAGACAAGGCTCAAGAAAACTACTTTTCTTCCAGGGCTCAACTCCCCCAATATCCACGGGAAGGAAAACCACCTTTGTTTCTCATCTCTTATCCATGCTTCAGGTTTTCCTTTGAAGGATGGTTCAAAGAAAGGTACCCAACAAGCTTGGTATCCAAGCTGATCATATTAAACCAGAGAAGCGGTTGGGGAGCCTCAAACCATCATCTTGTCAGCACCAGGATGGCAAGAACAAAGGAACTGACTTGAAGAAAAAAATGAAGAAGTCAAGATCAATTAAGCTGTCGGATATTGAGGGCCTAAGATCATCACCTGTGAGGAAAACGATTGCTCAACCTGGAAAACCACCACCCCTCAATGTTCCAGCAGCTGCTGCAGCAGCCACACAGAAGAAGTCTGTGATCAAAGCTATGGATGGATCACCAAACTACATGAAGTCCACCAGCAGTTCAGAGGCCAAAAAGGAAGTTTCTCAGGTGAGTTCCCGGAATACTCAAACTGGTTCTGATAGCAAGAATCTACGTAGAAGAAGTTCAACTGGTTCAAAAAGTAGCTCTGGTTCTTCTAATAAACCCGCTAGAACTTTAACAAGGACATCTAGTTTGAAGATGGTGAGGACTTTAACAAAATCTCCTAGTTTCAAACCGGCTAGAGCTTCAGCAAAAAAATGTTCCAGGGTTGCTCTATGTGCAGATATGGATGTGCAGAGAGCTACCTGTTCTTCAACTTTGAAGGACTCAAAGTTTCCCGCTTATCTTATGCTTAATCCCGGGGGAACTGAGTCTGAAGGAACTTCAATTATAAAGGTCTGCCCGTATTCTTACTGTTCTCTTAACGGTCATCATCACACTCCTTTGCCTCCATTGAAATGTTTCTTAAAAGCAAGGAGACGCTCAATGAAAACCCAGAGAAGCATGAAGATGGAAGCATTGGGCCCTCGTAGACTAAAGCCTTCTGCTGATGGAACACAAGAATTCGATGCAGCGCAGGTGGTTTTTGGTAACGACCCTGTCAGCAATGGAGTGGATTTGGGTAACTCCCCTATGTCTCCATTGATGCAAGAAGGGGGCATGGATTTTTTCATTGAAATATATGCAAAAAGCAAAGGGAATGATGCTGAAGCAGACGGCGGAAGCACACAAATGAACGCCAAGAGAATGGATAATTCTGGATGTGGCAATGAAACAACGCCAGAGCATAACACGGAGAAGCCACTTTCGGAGAGTTTATCTGAAGGTTCACCACACGCTGAGATTGATTTTGATGAAAATCTTGAACGTTGCAGTGAAACTTTTTCCGAAGTAAATACCAAGGAAATCCTCTATGAAGAACTAAAACACGATGACGTGGATGAAGATTTCAGAGGAATTTTGGTTAAAGAAAAATCATTACCATGGAACTTTAATGATGGTGATGAACAGGAATGCCTTTCAAGTATTGATATAGACCATACTATGTTTGAAGTTATTGATATGGAGTGGGAAGAGTGCCTATTTTCTGCTTCAGAGCCTGATGATGAAGCCCATTGTTCAATGGAAACTGCTTATAAATCTGATCCAAACATTGGGGATTCGTCAGAAAGTGATAGGAATAATATGCATGACGAATTTGTGATCAGTTCAGATGAAAAAGAAAGCAACATCACCGAGGAAATTCTGGCTGATGGAGCAGAACAGCTCGTCTATGAAGAAGAGACTGCATGCATTGATACGCGTAGCCTAGAATCTGAAACCTTATGCTACGACCGAGTTTCCTCCACTGAGGAGATGTTTGAGGTATTAGTAACCATAGAAGAAGAAGAGAAAGAAGAAAACGCTGAAATAGATTTGACAGGCATTGTTGCAACTCCATTTGCAACAGAGGAGCTGTATGAGGGAGGCAAGGAGAAAATTCTGGAGAATGGAGTTCCTGGAACAGTTAATGAGGTTTCTGAAGCAGATCCTTGGCTAGAAGTTCCTGAAAACAGCTGCACCATTGATGTGAAAGATGAAGCTTTGGAATCAACAGAACAATTTCAGCTTCACTCATTTGATAAGTTAGAGCAGGACAAAGCAATTGAAGATTACAACGTAATCCAGGAGCCAGGGGATTCAGAAGCAAATCTGACAGTCACCGTCAGTGATTTCAGTCCAGAGAAGGAACTTCCAAGTGGCGAAGCTGGAGATGGAATGGAAGCAGGGAAAGTAGCTGATTCTGAACTGTTGATTGGAATTCAAATCTCTGATTCATCTCATGTTTTATCTGGGGCTGATGAAGATGATGAGAAGATAGGTGACATCCAAAACAACCAACTTTGTGAAGTCAACAATGCTATTGATGAGAGTTTCTCAACTCAAGATAGTGTTGATGAAAGCCTTTTTGCTGAGAGTCAAGATCACCCGTCAGATAGGCAACATGAGAACACAAATGTTGTAGACATTCGGAGCATCCTAGAGGAAGATCAAGATGAAGCTAAGTTCAAAGTCCCTACTTCCATGGACTCAGAGGAGCAGAACAGTTCAAGGATGCATAAAACTAGTTTAGCTGAGGGCAGTGAAGAAGTTGGTAAAACAGATTTAGACAGTGCTAGTTCTGGGTTGGACGTGGCAGAAACGTTCCCCACAAGAAGTCATAAAAATAGCCACAATCCAAGAAACAGGTTCTCCTTCACTAGAAGCAATGCTAAGGAAGAAGTGCCGGACAACCATAGCAACAGAAAATGGACAGTTGGACTCAAAAGAAGACATGAGGAGAATTATGAGGAATCAAGGAAGTTCAACCCGCGTGAACCAAATTTCCTGCCTGTTGTTCCTGAACCAGATGCAGAAAAGGTTGATCTCAGGCATCAGATGATGGATGAAAGGAAAAATGCAGAGGAATGGATGCTCGATCATGCACTCCAACAAGCTGTCACCAAACTTGCTCCTGCTAGAAAGAAGAAGGTGGCATTACTTGTTGAAGCCTTTGAAACAGTCCTGCCGATAGCAAAATGTGAAACTCGTTTGAGGCATACTTCAACAGGCTTTGGCCATGGACGACCCATTCAGGCTTGTAACTGATAGTGTTTACCAAGGTAATTAATTCTCTCTATTCCAAGTCCATTCCTCGTTATTGTTTAGTTTTTCTAATTATCTTGGTTTTAGTAGTAAAATACTTCATTTGAATAACAAAATATAAATTCATTAACATCTAATAGACAAGCTCCACCTTCTTATCACTTCCCAGGATATGATCAGATGAAAGTAGCTTTGACAAATTATAGCTGCAATCAGTCTAAGGGTAGAAAGCATCATCATCATCATAGCAAGCGAAGCCAAATACTTTAAACCAGAGTTCTGACAGAGCAACTAACAAGTTGTCAACTGTTGAGAACTGTAGAAGCAGCAACTTGAAACGGTGGGTGGTGGAGTGAGTTGATCTGTGCAAGGATGCAGATGCAAATGCATATTCTCCTGAATTATGTGGGCGAAGTGTGAGTGAAGAACACCTAATTCAAGTTCAAACTAATAGAATTTGTGAAGTGTTTTCAACTGGATCATATCTATCATTTGGAGGTCTATTATGTCTAATGTTATGTACTGATAATCATGGCACTAAGTTTATGTTTAAATAATTACTACTATTATCATCTCCAATGATACATTAATCATCAACTGCTTTTCATGCATTGTTTCTAACCAAGTTGAGCTACGATTATCATACAAGAATTTAACTATTACTCAGATTCATGTATCAGAGTAGGAACATTGACATTCAGTCTTGCAGGAACCAAGAGATCCTAATATAATCATTATCAATTATATCATTCTCCTGAGGTCCAGCATTATCAACATATTAAAAGATACTAATTAGTACAAAGTTGAGGTAAAATATTGATAATGACAAAGAGTAGATCATTCTAATTCTGATAAATCTAAGTGCAGAATATCATTGCAAAAGAATCAAATAACCTTAAAAATCTTTAAAATTTCTAGAAAATCCTTGAAAACACCACACAAATCCTTTGAAATCCATGAAAAAAATTTAAAAATACTTAGAATGACCTTAAACATGCTTAAAAAGAGCCCAAAAATCCTTGAAAAAATATAAAAAAAAATTAAAAATGTGAATAAATAATAAAAAATTAAAAATCTCTTGAAAACATTAAAAGTCTTTAAAAATCCTTCATAAACCCTAAAAACCTTAAATATACACAACTCGTGACCGTCAAGCATTATCGACTGTTAAACATGCCCATATAAATTGAACAGACGACAGAATTTAGACAAACTATTGTTCATCAGAATCAGATATTTTAGGGGGAAAAACTGAGTTTGGTTATTACATTTATCTCAGAAAGAAAATTTTTTCTAATTGTACAAGTCAATTAGTATCTGCATGAGGTAAACACTGTCAACCTCAGAAGTATATTCATGTATAAATAACAAAGTCCTAAACACTTCTTAGCAAATTAAGATGCCATGACTAGTTCTATGTTTGTACTTCACAGACGGAAACAAGAATGTGCATTTAGTTTTCAACAAACATCAGGAGTTGAAACTTCTTGATGGAAGAATTGTATTTTGATTTTGGGTGATTCTAGAAGAAGTGACTGAAGCTCTGCAGTATATTTCCCCAAACTACCAGAAGTTGAGCTTTGTTCTCGCAAACCACCTGCACTAACACCAGCCTGGCCAGGCTCACTCTGCTCCACAGCTTTCTTTGACATAATATCATCATGAAACAACTTAAATGCATCTGTAGTCGACAGAGAATTCACGGAATCACATAACTCCCGGAATTTATCTCTCTTTTCTGGTGTTTCAATCAACTTCTCCCTCAATGTATTCGGAAGACAAGCGAGCGCACTTTCACACAAAATTTGAAACCAAGATTTAGAGCAATGCCGTGCATCAAATGCATAAGCAATCTAGACATCAACAACTAATAAGCAATTTCCTCCACTTTTCAATCTTACCTGGTGACACCTCTAGCAATGCCCCTGTTGCACCCGGCAAAAACTGATTGCTTAAAGCCAATATTAAAACCTTCTTGTGCAGAAGCTTCTTTCCCCGCTATCAGGCCATCACGATATCCAATCTGAAAATTCCCAACATTGAAACTGATATTAAAAACTAAACAACCACCATATCTTTACATACAATGACAAGAAAATCTAAATTGTCAAATACCGTCTGGAATTGGTCATGCCTCCTCTGCCATTCCCGGTCTAAATCAGATAATTTATCCAACTCGTCATCAGAATCACCCCATAAAGATCCATCTCCAGCCTGAACGTTGGCCTCATTGAAACCTGAAAAAAAAAAAGAAAAACAGAAATAACAGCACTAAAAATTGTAACTTTCGAATCCCCTGAGGAATTGCCAGTATTAACTAATTACCATTGGCAGTTGAAGAATGGTCTAAGTGTAATTTGGATAGCTGCAAACTTTCTGAATAGAGCACCTCAGCTAAGCTATTATCCATGTCTCTGTAAAAGAAAAAAAGAACAAACAATCACCTTGGCAATACGTCAAACACGTTCCAAGTTGCAAGCAGTCAATGGATTTTGTTCAAAGTTTTGATCTTTGAGTCCAAATAGTAAAAGCTAAAAATAAAAATCTTTTCCTTTTGCTAATCCCAAGCTAAAACAAGAATCGTCTCACAAGAACCTTCAAATTCCAACACACAATTTCTTTTAAAAAAAATTCTCTGAAGCTTTCCTCATAAATTACCGACTCGTCCTTCTGTTCCTTCTAGTTCTAGGGCTCCAGAATCCCAACTGAACTGAAAGAGTACAGAAACAATTAGAACTTGCCGGTAATTTTCCTAAATGATAGAAAGTTCTGATTTTTCATTTTAAAACTAAAAAGTTTCACCTTCCCCTTTCTTTTGGGCTTTTTCAATGTGGGCTTTCTTGGACCATAAATTAGACGATCGGACCAGCCTATTCGCCGAGGGGATTCCTGTCTTTGAACCAGAAGTGTCAACACGTGTGGGTACTAACTGCTTGCAATGCTGATACATTGCAGAAATTTTGCAGAGCTTTCATTCGTTTTCCAACAGTTAGAACAAGAAAACTTAAGCATCACAATCTCTTGATGACTAGGAGCTCCTCTTGCTGGTATAAATGTATGGCACCAATCATTATTTCTCTTTGTATAAAGTATTTGTTTCGTTATTTACTCCAAAAAGATCATAAGACTTGTACATTGAAATACAAGTCAGAAATTCCTAATGAAAATTTAGGGAGGATCATTGCTAGCATCTTAGCTGATGAATGTACATGCAGAGTAACATGGCTGAGCCTGATTGTTCAAGCTAAGGGTAATAGGTGATATGAAAGAATAGATGGCTCATAGAAAATGCTTTGGAGCTTTGGATTTGCTTAAAGCAAAGATTACTTCAACATCAGTCACATTATATCAAACTTAAATCAAGATTATGAAAGTGTTATGGAATATCCATAAATTTAGGTAAGATTTGTTGCCAACTAGAGGGAAAATAGTCATTGATACGCTAACAATTGATGGTCACATAATTTGAAATAAGATCATGCACAAGCTATAGCTCATTGCAAAGATTTCTGTTTCCATTTATTTCATCTTTCATGTGTTATCATTTAAGAGTTGGTTTAACATTCATCCTTTCACAAAATCGTCCTAGCTTTAATTATAATTTTTTTAAGTGCATATCATCAACCAACAAGCATTCTTTGCACCCGAACATTTAGCTTATTAGTTGATACATAATCCCGCTAGCAAAGTTCAAATCCCCTTCCTCAAATCTTAAAAAAAAAAACAACAAGAACCATTCTTGATTTTTGTCAAGATGCAGTATAGAGTATCACAGTTTAGAAAATGATGGGGACATCACGGAACCTTGTACTTGGCCTTAACTAGTTGGAGATAGGGTATAGTGAAAGCAAAATCATTCTTCGTTTGAAATCAAAGAGCTTTTCATAGTGTCAAACAACATCAAGAAGACCACTTGCTTTTATAAAAGTCATTAAAAAAAAATAAAAGGAAAGTGAAAGGAAAGGGCAACAGTTTCTTCAAAACTCATCAACCGTGGTGCTACCTCTTATATAAGGCCAATTCTCATTTTGACTGACAATTTAAGAACATCAAGCTTTCCCATTGTGCAAACCAATCTAAAAATGGCCACTTTTTCCATTTGCCTTCTCGTCACCTTTAATTTCATTATCTTCTCAAACTTCTGCAATGCTGTTTATGGCATCTTCTGTGAGGAAACTACCTAGGCAATAGCAATAAAGAGTGTAGAAAAAACATCCCACCTCCACTTTTACTTCCATGATGTCATTAGTGGGAAACAACCCAGTGCTGTGAAAATTGCTGGACCACCAAACAGCGCCGGGTATGGATTTGGAGCCACCATGATGATGGATGATGCATTGACAGAAGGGCCAGAAATCAGCTCAAAGCTGGTTGGAAGAGCTCAAGGGATGTATGCCATTGCCGCACAAGAAGAGTTGTCATTGCTAATGGTTATGAATTTTGCATTCATTGAAGGAACTTACAATGGCAGCAGCATCAGCATCCTTGGGAGGAATCCTGTTCTCCATGATATAAGGGAAATGCCTATTGTTGGAGGTAGTGGAGTGTTTAGACTTGCTCGTGGCTATGCATTGGCCAATACAATTCGGCTTGATTACAAGACTGGAGATGCCACTGTTGAGTACCATGTCTATGTATCACATTATTGAGTTTCATATTGAGCTAGAGTGACACGGCATCTGCCATGAGCAGTCATGCCACAAATGTAGCTGTAGCTTGGTTTTCCTTTTTTGGGCTTATGTTTATTTGTTGCTTCACATGTCTTTTGCAGCAGTCAACATTTTTATCTTTAAGTTATGGAACATTGATTACTTTATACAATCAGAAATGGTTATCTTTTCTCTTACCCTTTTCACTTTTCTTGCTTCTGATGCTTAAGCCATAAATCAAAATTCATCATGGAGAAAGAGGTCATTAGACCAAATAGTGCCTGCCAAAAGCCAAGCACCCTAAAGGGGACAGGGAGCTGAGCTTCACAAACTATTCTATGCTCTGCGTTGTGGGCCAAGGCTACACTGGGACCGCTTAGTTGGATCTGATAGCAGCCCAAGCTTCAATCAGGGGTTGGGTTGTTGGGCAGAAGAATATAACTTTGGGTCTGTTGGGTTATTGAAGAATGATTTATGTTTAAATGATTTTCCTCACTCAAAGCAGAAAAATTTTGATGCATTTTTACAATTATTACCATTGATTAATAACATCAATTATTTTTGTTTTGGTGGGATATGAAAATTCTTTTGGTAATGGTGGTATTAGAATTACAAAGTAATAGTAGGGAGTAAAATCAATGTAAATCACAATCTCGAATTGTGATAATTTATTCGAATATCATATTTTATTAAATAATTGATAGTTTAACTTATTTTCATTTTTTAAAATAACTGATACAACTTAAAAATCATACTTTCTACTACTAATCCTTAGAACAAAATGGCCATGAATTTTGGGGACCATTCACCATGCTATAACAGCAAAAGCAAGTTTGTGCAGCCAACATGGGAATGAGGAGGGGAAAGTAAAGGGGAGCTGTGATTACCTATTGGCAGTAAAGCTGCGAGGCCTTTGTTTGTGAAGGAAGCAAGCATGCTTTGAAAAGGCTTGGTAGGTATACATTGAGCACAGGGCACTCACTGATCTACCATTATGACTACATCTAAGATCAATGAATTCTCTTTTCAGAAAGAGAAGGTAGAAAAGCATATGCAATCCTAAAGTTTACAACTAATGAAAACTTTGAATCCAAGGCCCTGCAGCATAAAACTATATATTCCTAGCTAGTATTTTATGACTTAGCTATCACTATCAGCTAACTAAGATTATATCTGAAATAATGCTGCCACACGATCAAATGATTGATTAATTAAGATCAAGTGCATTTTATATTCTTTTTTATCACATTTTTTGCTCTTAATTATGCTTCTTTTTGTGTTTCATTTGCTCAAGCCATCATGTAGTGATGATATGATTAAGCTGATCTGCTCACAGTTTTGTGTGGGAGCTTTCTTTATGTTCACTGCTTAAACCATTCAGGCCAGAAGTGGTGTTTCACATGGCCAACAACCTTTTCTTGATTAAGTGTTGCATGCTTCTATGGTCGCCATAATCATGAAAACCATTTATTGGCATTTCTTCCTCCCAGAGTCACGAAAAATTAAGGAATCATTTCTTCCCAAAAACAATAAGCTACATTTTCATTACCCTATAAATACCCTCTATGGGAAGCTGACCATTGCAGTTGAATCCTGCACCTTGAATGGCTTCCTTTGCAACTCAAACTCTCTTCATCTTGTTCTTGACCCTCTTCTCAACTTTCTTCATTACAATTAATGGAGAGTTCTCAAGTCAATCCCCTATAACATCCACAGAACGCATGGCGAAAATGACCCGCCTCCACTTCTACTTCCATGACATCGTAGATGGGAAAAACCCTACAGCCATGAAAATCATTAGGCCACCAAACAATTCACTTGGTTCATTTGGTACTACTTTCATGGTAGACGATCCATTGACAGAAAGTCCTGAGCCTAATTCGAAACTTGTGGGAAGAGCACAGGGGATTTACGCTTTGGCTTCGCAACATGATGTAGGCTTGCTTATGGTCATGAATTTCGCTTTCTCTGAGGGAATTTACAATGGAAGTGCACTAAGCATTCTTGGCTGGAATGCAGTTTTTCACACGGTCAGGGAAATGCCAATAGTTGGAGGTAGTGGACTTTTCCGCTTTGCTCATGGTTATGCTTTGGCCAAGACAGTTTGGTTTAATCAGAATGGAGATGCTGTAGTTGAATATAATGTGTCTGTTGTGCACTACTGAACAAGTGCTGTACTTGCTTGGAATTGAACAAACTTTTGTTTTTCTTGCTTTCATCATATCTACTTGCTTTAAGGTGTTTCTCCTATAGCCTAAAAAGAGAGTGTGATTTTCTGGTTTTCTACTTCCTAAGAAATCTATCATAGGTTTCCAGGAAAATGGATGGCTTTTAGAATTTCTGTCATAGATGCTAGACCTGTTATCTGATTTGTCAATTGACTTGTTCAGTCCCCAGGACATGTTACAACTATAGACCTTTAAGGAAATTTTCTGTCAACATGATAACTAAATGAAGCAAAGTTGCATTCCTAGAGAGTAAACTAAAGAATTCAAGATGTGAAGTACTTGTCCGGGAGAGGCAGGTATTGAGGGATTACTTAGAAACACCAATGGGGAGACAATAATGTCATTTTCCAAGTCCGTAGGCATTGGAGACTCAAACTTAACACAGATATTAGTGATAAAGGAAGCTTTTTTAATGTTCTCAGCTTCAAGATGGGGAAGCTCCCACAAACTTATAGTGGAAAGTAATTCCACTAATGCTGTGAAGTGGTCCACTTAACCAGAGACAGCCCCGTGGAGACTCAGAAAATGGGTACTTCATATTGAAATGCTAAAGAAACGAGTTAAAGAATGGGAAGTCAAACACACTCTTTGGAAGGCAAACTGACAGGCCGATACCCCTGCAAAATCTGTTATTGTCAGAGAGGAGGACCTTATCAATGTATGGGACGATGTTACTAGAGTTAGAGCTGCAAATGCAGAAGACCCAAGCAACAGAGCTTTTTCCCGTATGGATTAGGAAGTCTGGATCAGGTTCATTCTGTCCTTATTGCACGGGAAATATGGACACAAGGTAGTTGTGGTGTTTGTGGAACAGTTGTTGTGCACTTGTTGGGAGGTTTACTTTCTCAACTATCTTGATGTCATGGTAGAAATTAGGGGCTGAGGTGAATTTGTACAGGATGTGCAGGGTTAGCATGTTATGGAACTCCCGAGATGGTCTAAGGGCATTGTGGGAGATTTTGTGTTGGTATACCCCTATTAACTTTTGCAAGAGGTGTAGCGATGCAAAATCCTTGTAAAAAGGTGAACGATGGTTCCCAATTATGATTAATGCATTATGAAATTTCAAAAAGAAAGTACATATAAATCAACGTGGAAAGGTTTGAGCTCTTGAACAGATCAGAAAAAGCTATGGGAAAGCTTGCTCAAAAGGAATTTTCCATCATTGATGAACATGAAAAGTTATTAGATACGAAGTGACTCAAAAGTCTCCCAGAAGTTTTTATGCAAATAAGAGTTCCAAAACAAGCACGGACTACATGGTGGCAGCCTGAGGAAATGAATCAGATATGTTTAAATTTTTAGAAGTAAATACAGAATGAATAGTCTTATACATCTAAACTAACAAACTAGCAAACAGAAAAAGAGAAACCTGGGAGTCAAGGAGAAATTTGCTGGAACTTTTCATTGGAACACTTTTATATTTCAGAGGAAGAAAAACTTAATATTCTTTACAGAGAGAAGAACACGAAAAAAGGAGGAAACAAGCACACACAAAGTGAGTAACAACTTAATCGTACCGCCTAAACCCCCAGGCTGACATTGAATATAGGGGTCTTTCTTGCCAGCACATAACCAAACACCCATTCTCTTCTTTGATCTTATAACCATCATAGTTATTGGTCTGCAACAACCTTCCTGCCTGCAACATGCCATGGTAGCTTAAAGGCACCCTTCCAAAGCCCGCCAACTCAAGTCTCAGAATCCATTTCTCAAGCTTCTCATGTCTCTCCTTTCTCTCAAGACCCTCACATGCTATAATATTCTTAATTTCCTCTCCAAAAAGCATCTTCTCAACCTTTTGTCGCTCTAGCGGTGCTCTTGATACTGTGGACTCTAAGCAATCGAAGAGCGCAGCGTAGAAATTCAATGCTTCCATTACCCTCTCCATTAAAGTAGGGCCATTATGGTTGGACTCCTGCTCGGTTACTACAATAAGTTTTGGTGACTGTGCCCGAAGTGCAGTTAGAAAGCTCCCCAACTTTGGTGCTGGAGCTAGGGACAGCGGGGATGATGGTGATGGTGATGCTAAGTCCGAAGAACTTGGGCTATATGTATGGACTGGTTCTTTCTCAAGCCACTCTCCTAAAGTACGTTGGTTCATCTGCAAGACTCTATGTGGTCGACTACTATTGAGGTTCTTAGACACTGATGGTGAGTTAATGTTCCTTCTAAGCATCTCATCATCAGTAGCCAGGAAGGAATGAAGCTGAAGCACAGAACTGACTGCAAGAGCTTCTCCAGTCTTGACACGCAAACTTTCTAGATCAAGATTCTCTAACTTGCAAACTATTGGGTTAAACTGAAATGGGATGTCCAATTTTTCAGCTTCTTCTGTCAACCGAAGGGCCATTTGCTCTAACACCTCTCTCTGTTCATGAATGCCTGTAATTCTCAGATGGGGTGGCCCTTCTGGCCTTGCACTAAATGTCTGAAAAAGATTGATCCACTGTGCGGGCTCAGAGGAATTGAGATCTATGATATGAACCATCTTCTCCCCCTCCATAGCTTCTACAATGGCCTGATTTGTAATAACGTATGCAAGCTTTAAGAAGGGGAATAGCTCAAAGTACAATTTTTGAACAAGAATTTCCTCTGTCACTGATGATATTTTTGTGGAATTCAGTGCTTTGTGAAGACCAGGCCATGCTTTGAGCATCCTGTCAGCAAGTGCCTCGGTGAAGTAAGCAGCAATTCTTTGCATGGTATCTCCATCAGGAGAGGCCAAGTGTGATATTTGCTCTAGGCCAATATTGGCATTCTCAAGACTGCCGGCAGCTACATGGTTAGCACATTGAACAAGAAGATGGATCAGATATAAACCCCTCTCCTCAGATTTGAGCTCCCGGAGCCATGGGAATGGCGAACCTAAACCAGGAGACAGCGACATCCAGGGGATGAACGGAACTGGTGGTGAAGTCACAGAAGATGGTCGCTCTTGGATCATTCCTGCCATTAACAGTCAGAGCAAGCTAAGGCCCCCTGAAATATAAAATTCCGGCATATTGTTCAGTGAACAGCTGATGTCTAAACAATTTGATGCAAAATCAGTCCAAATGCTATATTTAAATAGTTCAAAAAGCAAATAGCATTACTTGAAAGCAATTTGAAAGAAACAGAGGAAAGCAAAAACAAGGCTCTGTTTTTAAATTTTTCCTGTTTTGACTGTACAGATATTAGCTGAGTGGAACACACCCGCCCACCCACCTCTCCCCCCTGCTTTCTTGGTCATGAAAAGTTTTAGTATGAAACTTAAAAGCTCCTTTTTTATTCTATCTCAATGCTTTCACAGCTAAACAAAGAGACTGAAGGCAAATTCACTTTCATCTTTATACAAAATCATAAAATAAGCCCACGTACTTGTCAATGAGAGATTGTTAAAAGTTTTCCATCCGTTTCCCAGGTGTTCTCAGCAATCAAAACAGAGACTGAAGCAAACTTCCAATACAAAAGCAGAGGAAAGCTCATATTTTCATCAAAAAAGATTCTCTACCGAGTAAGAGAATTGTTCAAACCAATCAACAGAGATCATGAAACAGAGACAGGGAATTACCAGTAAAAGTAGAGCTAAAATTCTCCTGAGGAAAACAGATCAAACAGAGCAATAAATTAAAATTCCCAACTGGGTTTTGAAATTCATCGAAGTCCCAGAAGACTCCTTAAGAAAATTGGAAAAACTTGGTAACTCAAATCTCTTTTTCCATCAGAGTGGTTTCATCACTAAAAGCAGGTTTGGTTTGGTGGTCTAAGGTTTTGTTGGAAAGTGAGTCAATTGGAATTAAAGCTCTTGTCTTGAAGGACTTTTCCATAGCTGCTTTGGCAACAATACAAGAGGTTGTTTTTGTCCTCATTGTTTTGTTTGTCTTTTGGAGGGTTCAGAAGAATATGGAATTTCTTGAAATACATAGAGAGCATATAGACCGAGCCCTCTCTGTCTCTGCCTCTCTCTCTCTCCATCCATATTTCCTCTCTCTACAAATGTTCTTGTTACTGTCTATCTATTACTGTGTCTCTTACAACTACACTAGTCTTAAAAGACACCTGCCTTTGTTCCATTCTCTCACTAAGTTTGATTTGTTTTTGTCAGCATGTGAAGTGGATGGGAATAAGAGCTGGCCAAAATTGGTATTATGCTCAAACACAACACAAAGCCAAACATGCCCTACCAACAAAACAACGCCCTTGCTTGTTGCTTAGCGGGTGATAGTGGGGATTGCAAGGGAAGCCTTTCCATATGCCTCCAAATCAAGTATTTGTTCTCTTTTCAAACGCAAAGACCATCCACCTGGGGGTTTCTTCTTGCATCAGGACAAAGAGACAAGCAAGTTTTAAGAAAAGCCAAAAGTAGATAGAAGATTCAACTTTAGGAATGGTCTGGTCCTTGGGGTGTGTGAGAGAGTGGCTTGGTTTGGATTCTATTAGCCTCATTCCTTGTTTTCTACAAAAAAATGTTTTAGATCTGTTCTTTTAGACTGTAATGAAGATCCAAATTATGCCACATAATCATGGCTTAGTGATTTACCACATCATCTACTTGATTAGCTGAATCTTGTTAGTGGGCAAATGTGATGCCCACTTACCTCCATTTTCATTGTTATGTTTTGTTCTTATACCTTTTGTCCATTGTTTTATGGGCTTAGTTGTGGCGGTAGCAGTAGTGGCCAGCAATTTTATGTCTTTGCTCTTTTCAAGTTATGCATGCTCCAAATCAAGCACGAGAAAGTTGGTAAATCTTCTGAATCATTGTATTCTACAGTTTAATGATCTCACATCACTTTAAAGAAAGAAGACTTTTTTGTTCAACTTGTCACTAGATGCGATTGAGAGTGGATTATCATATGATTTGCTACAAGAAAACAAGCAAACCCAATGCCCATTTGTACCAATAGAAGGTCTTGAACCTTTAACTTCAGGTGGTGATGCAACTGACAGATGGGGCTTGGTAGCTTCTTCAGCTTCAATTTTAACAAATGCCTATGTGTAAATGACAATTTGATGTATGTCTATGACTACTTGTTCATGCACCCTTTGTTTAGTTTCATTTTCTCAAGAGAAAACAGGCCTGCAGAGAAATCTGAAGCATGCAATCTGTGAATTTCATAAACCAGACAACATCTTAAAACTTTCTATCATGGAACAATATCAATGAAACATCAGATTTTCAGCATCATATAAACGTGTACACCATTAACTTTTTGTCCAAGATGTTAAAATACCAGAACAGATTAGCATGCTCTAACATGAAATACACATGTAAGAAACTAACTAGAAAGTGGAGAAAACTCTCTGGGAAAAGGTTATCCCACTTGTTTCTTTTTGTTTGTATTGTGCTAATTAATACAGCTGATTATTCTTTTGTTTTGTGTTGAAGAAAATTAAGGTGAATGGATCCCTCTACCCCCTGCCCTACCACCACCATTGATCTCTAGAAGAAACGTAGAGAATGAGTCAGCTATTGCGTCTACCCTTCATCAGCCACATACAAGTAGACAGCTCCAAGCATATGTGATTAATTGTTTGCAATCTCTGCACTTAATCTTATATCTATATTCTAGTGTTATCAATATGGTATAAACCCTTCATTCTTGTTTCATTTTCCAGTAAATTTACTCAAGAAGTTTCTCCAATTTCAATCATTCATGCACAACATAAAGGGTTATAATATTAGGTAATCATCAAAAGTTTCAAACCAAGTGAAGATAAGCTCATAGATTTGGACTTAATGAAGAGGTTTGGT